AATAATAAATAGAATTAAATTTCTTTGTATCAAACTCTAATGTATATTCCTATTTCAAAGTGCGGCCCTAGACTGTTATTTATAGGGCTGAGGTGGCCCTGTGTACAAGTTGAGTTTGACATGCCTGTACTAAAGCAAACTTGAAAAGGAGTGGTGATAAAGCATTTCCTTATTTTAGATCATTCAGAATAGGGAAATTATCAGAAAAATATTTACCTATACAGACTTTACAATATGTTTGGTTTAAACACATTTTAATCAGCCTGATTAGTTTCATAGGTATCCCTAATTCTATGAGAATATTGTACAATACTTCTCTCCTAACTGAATCATAGGCTTTCCTGAAGTCTATGAATAGCTGATGTACTCTTATTCTATTCCCATTTTCTCCATTTATCTGACAAATGCAAAAGATCTTATCAGTAGTTGATCTGTTATGTCAAAACCCATACTGATGATCCCCAATAATTTCATCTATGTATGGACTTCATAATTTCTACAGTCTATTTTATCACCCTTCTTGAGAACTGGTACAATAATAGACACATTTTTTCATTATTCCGGGTTGAATTAATTAGCTTGTGGATCTTAGAGCATAATATTTAGCCTCCTGCTTGAATAAGTTCTGCCAGAATGTGATCACTACCTGGTGATTTATACCTTTTCAATTCTGCAATAGCAATTTCAACCTGAAAAGGGCTAGGACCAGGTACTAACAGCTCAGCTGTATGAATTTCTATCTGCCTAACATCACTGACCCTATGTACATTCAATAACTGAGAGAAGTAGTTCTTCCACCTATTCAGAATGTGGGAATCTGCAAGCAGATCACCATTTTCATCCTTCACTAAGTTACTTCTAGGTTATTAACCCCTCTCAAAGTCATTTATTCCTCTATACAGGTCTCTTAATGTTTTTGTTCTTACTGTTCATTGCAAGCTCAACAATTTTGTCTTTCAGATATTCCCTCTTTTTATTCCTGAAATGCCTACTGGTTTCACGTCTTATATTTTTCAGATTATCCCCATTTATTTTTCTTGGATCCTGTAACCACTGCAGTTTTGCTTGTTTTCTTTGGTCTAATAATTTTGAGCATCCTTCATCGAACCATGGCTTATGCTTCTTCAGTTCATAATAGCATAGACTCTCTTGGGCAGAAACTCTAATTCCCAATCATTGGTTTGAAAATGTCTTCCCTACCTGCTTTGCATCGAAATCTCCCAACAAAATTTTCACATGGTACTTCAGGAATTTATCAAATACACGTTCTAGTTCTTCATAGAACCTGTCCTTCATATCAATTTTATGCTGCTGGTTTTCAGGGGCTTGTGAAGCGATGGAATAAGTGCCTCAACGTACAGGGAGATTATGTTGAGAAACAAAAGCCTTTTTCAAATCAGTACTCATTATTTAAGTTCTATATCCATTTGTAACTTACTTATTGACTTACCTTCCTATATACAGAGCGTTTCACGACTTTAGGGCATAACTGCAGGAGGTGATTTCCTAGGTGTTTGTGATCAAAAAAGTTCATATAAACATGTGTCCGAATTTGGACGGTTACGGAGTTATGACCGTTTTTTCATTCCCGTACACGCCCTCATATGAACCGCTTCTGTCGGCTGGCAGGTCACTATTTTTAGCCAGCTAAAGACAGAGCGAGACAGAGCATTCTCGTTATCTCGACACTTGAGAGCTACCTAAGGCGGGGAGGGTTGGTATGTCCGGCGCGGTTGACAACCGAGCGGCAGCGTGTATTGTGGCCGGCAGTGACATTTTCGAAAATCAGCTTTGAGCACCAATCAATTCAAATTAAAGGTAATTTCACGAAGTTAACTTTACATTCATACTTTCAATGTGTCACGTATTATGCTAGTTTATTATTTTGTTCCGTTTATTGTCATTAATCGTTACCTTCTATTCTGAGTTTAAAACAGTCATAACTCAGTAACCGTCCAAAATCGGACACATGTTTATATGAACTTTTTTGATCACAAAGACCTAGGAAATCACCTCCTGCAGTTATGCCCTAAAGTCATGAAATACCCTGTATATACAGAATGTGCCAGACTTCGGGAGGGTGTTCCTTATGTTAAAGTATGCCGATATAACCCAAAACACCTATATCCAAAGTTGAACGGTTACGGAGATAATTGCCCGAGAAAAGTGTGGTTTTCTGGTGGGTCCACGCATTGTATCTGTCAGCTGACAAGTCTTATCGATATTTGTCCTAGAGCGGTCCTAGAGTGTGGTGAGAACGGCTCACACTAGCCACATACACTCGCATACCAGAATGCGCAGTCAGCCATGTTACATCAGTCCTTGCAATTCGTGTGTCATGTATAGTGCTTGGAACCCTAATGACAACTATGACATGGCGTGCGAGTTTTTTTTTGTAGTTCAATTTAATGGCTTCAAGTCACTCACAAGTTAGTTTGATGTTATGTACATTATTAACATTACAGAAACCACATATCCCTGGCAGTTTTAATATGTATTTGGTAATCAACAAGTGTGTAACACCTGTCAAAGTTTCACACTTCTCTGGCCATTATCTCCGTAACCGTTTAACTTTGGACATAGGGGTTTTGGGTTCTATCGGCATACTTTAACATAAAGAACACCCTCGTGAAGTCTGGCACATTCCTCCTGAGCCACCCAACAAACCATCATAAAATAAACGTCAGCTATGTATACAATATCTGTAATTAAAATAAATCTACAACAAACAGTAAAATCAAATTACTGAATTATATAATAAAACAATAACCAATTACAAATCTCAATCTTTGGTTTAAAACAATCTATTTGTACTTGTTGCTACTAAAACTCTCTTATTCCTTACTTCAGTCAATAACTTCGCAACAAGTACATCGTTTTCATAAGTTTCACACTCCTCAGTCACAATTATCTAATCATATCCCTAATTATCTGCTCTGTAGACAATTGCACAGACGATTTAAACAACGTTCCTTTTATGGAACAGCAGCAATAAAATGCAAAAATCTAAATCTTTATTTTCAACAATAATATTCCTCTACGGTGAGAAGTTCTTGTTCAATTAAGTCTGATTGATTGATTGAACATCCATAACTGTTACATTATGTACAATTGGACAAGTCAGTTTTTTAAAAAAATATATGAGATTAAACATCACATCAAATGACTAATAATATAAAAAACCATAGAAAAAATAACATAATAAATCCTTTAAATATGATAAAACAGTGGATGAGTATAATAAGGCAACAAAAGCTAAACTATAAATTACATGCAATAGCTAAAATAAATTACCTAAGTATCTTTGTTCTATTATTATGCTAATTCTTGTAAAAATATTCTTGAAGGGAATAAAAAGCTTTGCACAACAAGTAATCCTTTAATTGACGCTTAAAAACCTTGAACTCTTGAATACTTCTTATTTGAGAGGGCAAGTTATTATACAATCTTATTCCCATGTTAATCACACTCCTTTGTCCACACAAAGCCTTTCGCTGGATCATCAATTTTTCGTCCCATCTTAAAAAACAAACGAATCACTGCTGCGCGCTACAGAATCCACGCGACAGCTCAACTGGCATGCGCAATTGCCTGGAAATTGAGTCTCTCAGTCTCCCCGCAAGTTGTGTTTCCGTTTCCTCAATTTGCTCTGCCCCATTTACTCGCATGTGTGCAACTCCGGTTGATAACACTTCTCGGAAATCGCGGTTGCGTTTCAGTTGCCAGTTTCCTTGGTGTACGCCCAGCCTAAAGGATGAGGACTAACCCAACTGCTGACTTGTATCACAAAGCACGGGTCCTATTACAGTAGTTTCTTGCATTATTCTAGCAGACATATTCTGTATTTAGACCCTATTATAAGTTGTGGTTCTATATATATATATATCACAATCCAGTGATTGAGACTAGCTCTTTCTAAGGGGCCCAACTGAGTAGGTTTATCCTTCCCTATCCACCTGAAGACGGAGACAGATCCAGTCTCCGAAACGTCGTGGTTTTTTGTCTTTCACATACCAGACGATGGGTGAAGTCCAAAATAAACCAAAAGAAGTAGTGTATACACCATCGTCAGAATCCTTTCAAGTCTATCCAAATCTATTTTGTCCCGCCTGGCATAGTCAGGACGGTCAGGACCCAGGACGGCGCTTCTCATATACGCCAGACTCTTGCAGCGCTTACAGAACAGCTGATTTCTTGGAATCCAAGCGGCAACTCAATCGAACTCGATCGTATGAAGACTGGCTTACAGTATAGCTGATTTCTATAAATCCAAGCGGCAATTCAATCGAACTGGATCGTATGAAGACTGGCATGCTCCGTTGCCAGAAAATTGAGTTTCTCAGTCTCTCCACTAGTTGCGTTGCCGTTTCCTCAATTTGCGCTGCGCCATTTACTTACATGTGTTCAACTCGGGTTGATAACACTTCTCGGAAATCGCGGTTGGTAGTTTCCTTGGTATGCGCCCGGTCTAACTTCGCCAACAAGCGGCGGTCACTCGGTCTGAATAGTTCACTTGCGGACCAAGACCACGGAGTTTTGTTTTCATTTAACTTTTATTAATCAATCACATTGGACGGTGAATCATTTTACACTATTGGGCCGCTTCCTTGCACACGCTTTGATGCTGTACGTTGCAAATGGTGATCCAACTGGGAGCTCATTGACTGCTTACAGTAAAGAATTCTGAATGTTGTGAATTATACCCTCTACCTTTTTGTTTCGATCCACAACCCACAGTACCGCTCTCGCTTCATCATGTAATATAAATCTGAGAGCACGGATTTTTTAGGAACGTAGGACATAGAGGCAACTGATTACGAATTTATCACCGCGGTGGTCCGGGTTCGTTCCCGGGTCTAGTCAAGTTGGATTTGTGGTGGACAAAGTGGCGCTGGGACAGGTTTTCTCCGAGTACTTCGGTTTCCCCTGCCAATCTTCATTCCACCAATTTCTCCACTATCACCCTGATCACCCTCACCTATCATCTGGGGCTGGTACAATAGGTCAGAAGTGGCCGCAGTACAAGGAACGTAGTCCCACCCCACTAGCAATAAAAGAAAATATGTAGGAACTTAGAACAGAGGCCGCAGATTAGTAAACAGTTCAATTGTTTCAGCCTGCGTGTCCACCACGAAGGAATATTGAAGCACCGAAGTGTAATTAAACACAGCGATGAATGGTGTTGCCACTGGTTACAGGTTACAGTTTGTGTTGACGTGCTCGGTGTGCTTGTAATAATGTATTAATTGAATACACATTGTAATACACACATGTCAGGCCATACTTTCATGTACATGTAATGGCGGTATTTTGGATACTGATTATCGTTAATGTAGGAATATGGCATTGCAGAAAATAAGTTACAAGTGTATAAGAAGCACATATGTAGCAAACATCAAAGACCCAGAGTGGTGTGTGTTGCTTGCATGTGCAAAGGAATTGTCGAATGAAAATGGAAGATGATACGCCAGTCATTTATGGATTAGAGTTCCAGGCTAGTATATTAATCAGTTGAAGTAAATATTGTATGTGTTGAAATTAATAAAATTACAAATGATTGCTACTTGTGACGTTCAGTATAATTAATATGAAAGGTTATGTTGAAAGTCAGGGCAGCACATCGAAGCAGTGGCTGTAGATCTACCAAGAAAATTATTTTATATTATTTTCGTTTTCGTTTCTATTCATTTGCTTTATTTTATATCTCTACACCCTAGTGGTTAGCAGAGCGTGGTTTTTAAGTGTCCTGACTGCTGAATGCTTAGCAGTCACGGCCTGGTAAGCATTAAGGAGTCGGGATAATTCAGTCGGTACAGAAACGGGTTTCGGGCAGGACGGCCTGGGTTCGATTTCGGGAGGGGTAAGATTTTTCTTTTCATATCATCAACATTGGCTGTGGGGGCCCACCCAACCTCCTGTCCAATGGGGCTCTTTCCCTGGGAGTAAAGTGGATAGGGCGTGAAGCTAACCATGACCCGTTATATAATGCTGAGGTCAAGAATGGTAGATCTACACCTCCATTACCCCATATGTCTTCATGGAATAATGCTTAATGGATAATCTCAGGGAGAACCCTACCTTCTTTTTTGTGACTATATGCAGATGAATGTATGTTAAAATGAAACTGGAGAATATAACTTCACCATGCTACACAAAGAGAGTGTTGGTAATGCAGTGACTGTAAGTTTGTATCCAATCCCCAACTGCTCAAGTCGGCATTACTTCATTTACAAGGATGGTCTGCCAATGTCAGACAGATCTCACTTCTTCACTATCCCACAGCTTATGTGCGTTAATATATATGTAACTTTGTAAGATGACATGGTTTTGAATTGAATTGAATTTATTTACATTCTATAAATCCTAAGCAGGTTAGTACCTTTGGATACAGAACAAGTCAAAATGTTACATACATAAGTACAGGCAATTTTAGCTTAAAAATTAATATAACTTAATTTTACATCATTCTCTATTTACATTGAAGTATTCATCTAAAGAGTAGAAGGAATGAGCATGTAGATAATTCTTTAACTCTGATTTAAACTTTTTAGTATCATTGCCCAAGTTTTTAATACTTTGTGGCAGATTGTTGAACACTTTTATGCCAGTAAAGTAGACTCCTTTTTGATATANAGAATTGGTTTAGATTTATTGTTGATGGTTTTAGATAGATCATTTATGTAGAGAAGAAAAAGTAAGGGACCTAAAATTGATCCTTGTGGAACACCGTGCTTTATAATTCCCCAGTTTGAAAATGCATTATGACTGGAGTTTTTATTATTTATTTCAACTCTTTGATACCTATTTTTGAGGTATGATTTGATCCATTCATTAGCTTTGCCAGTTATTCCATAGAAATTTAATTTCGATAGTAAGATATCATGATTAACACAATCGAAAGCTTTTGCTAGATCACAGAAAATCCCTCCCACAATTAATCTGTCATTGAGAGCACTTAAAATATCGTTAGTTAGTTCATAGGTTGCTTTTTCTGTTGTTAGGTCTTTCCTAAATCCAAATTGCTCTTTGACTAATATGTTGTTAGAATTTAAGTAAACACCTAACTCTCCAAACAATGTAAATCATGATCTTGGTCATAGCCCAATACTTTGGTGCTATCAGTTGGTCCTGCATTACTTCATTGACTGATAACAATATCATTTTGCTAAGTAATGTAGAAATGTTAGAAAATCATTAAGGAACAGGAAGTGCTTCGTTGACAGCTTTTTATCAATCCAGCATAATGTTTGTGATACACTGGTTCATACTTGAGCCTGTACCTTCTCTTTTGATTTATTTGAACTGTATGCACAGTCAGATGAATTTAGTTTTTTTAATGTTGTAGAGTGCAGAATTTTCCACCAATTTTCTTCACAAGTACACCCCCATCATTTGCTCATGCATATATATTTCATCTCAGTGAATTGAGATAAATTTTATATCGAGCTTTTGCAGTGAAGATGAATATTTATAACTTTGATTCCATTCATTTTTAATTATGCTGTATATCATTATATGTTAGTGTGTCAAGGAGAGTACAGGACAGGGTGTAATGTAATATTGCACATAGTTTTGATATATATAGTATTCCAGTGCATTGAATTAATGTTAGAGGGCATCACATGTAATAAATGGGGAGATTGGTATTACAGGATGTTCTGTTATAAAATTTGTAGCAGCCTTTGTCAGTGTCAGAGATAAACTGTCAGAAAGAAAATAGACCTGTAAGACACAGGTTAATTAGAGTTTACCATATGGTCTTTTTGCAAAATAATGTTTTGTGACCACCATAGCAAAATAATGATCCAAAAATTGTAAAATGTCTAACAAGAAACTGTGAGAATTGTTGAAACAGTATTTGAATTAGCTTTGTATTATTAATTATTTATGCCATTTGGAAACAAATTATGACTTGCTGTTAAAAATTATTTTTATGGGTGACAGACTATTCAGTTTCCAAAACTAGGCTTTACCATTAATCAAGACTGGCCCCTTCTAATGGACCAAGTGCCTACAGATATTTCCTCCATTATGTCTGATGACAGAAATGGAACTAGTTTCTGAAACATGTTTGAAACAATTGAAGATGATGAACAATATCCACAATAATAGTCATGTTTATGTCTGAGATTTGTTGAAGTCTTAAATTTATTTTAATGTAGTTCTGATTTGTAAAGTTTGTAGATTGCAGATAGTTCCTAGTTTTTAAGTTTTACATTTACATTTATTTTCACTTCATGGATCCAGTCATCTCCCCCATAAGGCTGGATATATAACATGACACATAGTACAAATTCATGATGACTGCACATCATTCGTCCTTTGTCCAATGAATTATATAATCAGGCCTCTCACAGGTAGCTCAAGTTGTCAGGACAACACACATGGGTCATGGGAAAACCACAGTCAAATTCACACCTTGCCATTACACACACACTGAAGTCTCATAACAAACATTCTTTGAAGGTAGAATACAAAAATTCCATTGTAAGTGAAGTACAGATGGAGATTTGGTGCTTTATACTTGTGGGGCAAGGAAGCAGGGTGAAAGAGGAGGAAGAAAGGGTGGAGACAGACCCCTAATCTTAGGGTTAGATTCACAAACAGTATTTTGCACTGGTTATAAGTAAATGGCTGTGGAAATAAAATGAGGAGAAAGAAAATTAATGAATGGAAGTGTGAAATCTTGATGAAGTTCTTAGGCATATGTTTGGTATCATATTCAGGCACTCCTTGAAACTAGATTGTGACCGATAGTGACTGAAAAAGCACCTGTTAAGGAAATAACTGTTTCATGTAAATTTACAATTAATGCAGATTTGTAATATAACTTTAAACTAATTATATGGTTTAGGTAAGTAAATATAATTCAAATTGTGACGATTATTATGTTAGTGAAAGCCTGCTAATTTGAAGTATGTGTTTTTATAAGTTTCATTCCATTAATTTTCCCCGCTGTATATCAGTGTACTTTAAAATGTTTCAAGCCTTCAGTATGTTGTCTGAGTCTCTTGGTGCAGTTCAGATGTTCACCTTTCGTAAGTTTCTCAAGCCTGGACTAGTAATGCTAAGCATGCATTCTTTTTTTCCGTAGAGAGCTGTAAGTATTTGCAAGACATCTATGAGTTTCTTCAAACTACTGTTGCAGTTTTTTGATATTACAGAATCAGTGCACTTGACCAAATGTAGTTTGATAATCCATCAATTCACTAAAGGCTGTGTTAATATAACTGTTCAGGCAAGGGCATTAGCTTCGCAGCTGGCAGAATCAGATGCTGTCCGATTCATGGTTGGCACCCAGTCACTGAAACTAAGTCACAATCAAGTTCATGTCGTGGAACTGAATGAGGAGACAGGTGGACTTTTAAAGCAGGTGTTTCAACATGGTGCAGGGGAGGTGTGGACTCTTGCAGCTTCACCTAGTGATGCAAATCTCATTGCAACCTGCTACAATACACTCACAGGTATTAATGTGATAACAAAATGGCTAAATCCAAAACATCCACTCTCCTCTTGTCTTGCAGTGTTCATTCCTTTGTTGCACCCATTGGAAACTGGTTATCTTTCTTTCTGTTATAATTATTTGTGTTAGAAGAGAGCTGGCATAACTCTGTCAATATAACAATGTGTTAACCAAGAAATCAGATTTGGTTCATAACATTAAGGCTTGCTGTTAAGCTCACTCGGTCATTCAGTCTGTATGGGGGATCTTTTCTCTGGAGGTAAAATGGTCGTGGCATGAAACTTCATCTAGCACCAAGGTTAATAATATGTGGCACCATACCTCCTCTACCCTGCATGTCTTATGGCATAGTGCTTAATTAATTAAGGACAGGGACAGCTATGCCTGTTTATAGTTGTATTAAGTTGCTGTTATTAATGTATATTTTTATTAGTGCTTGTTTAGTTCTCAAGTAGTTTACTGTGATTAGGAATACACTGTAAGTAAAAGGTTTCATTCAAAAATGTTAGTAAGAGATAAATATTAGTAGAGAGGTGGTATTATAAATAGAAAGGGTAGGTACTTGAGTAAAATAGAACAGAGTAGGCCAGCTGACAGACGAGCTAAGCAGGGAGTTGATATTCACGCACTACTACAACTAAAAACACCCATACCTGACAACCAGATGCAGGACAGCTGAATCAGCAATTTTATGAACTTCTAATTTTAAAGAGCACATTTACACACAGCATACTAGGATGCCACTGCAATAATTTTATCAAAAGTTTATAAACCTGGTGTTGGCCGAGTGAGGTGAAAACATGTTGCAGTAAGATACATGAAAGACAAAAGTAAGTGTTGCATTTAAGAGTAGTTACAAACACAGTAGAGGGTAAAAAGCAGTGTCAGGTTGAAATCCTAAATAGGTTTGTTGTTTGGGAAAACATTAATGCTGAGGTGGATATTAATAGAGCTTGGGAAACTTTTAAAGAGAATATGAAAAATTCAGCCAAGGAGAGTCCAGAGTATTATGGATTGAAGAAGCATAAGCCATGTTTCAGTGAAGATCAAAGGAAACAGGCCAAATTGCAGTGGTTACAGCATCAAAGTGAAAGGAATGGGGATAATCGGAACAATGTGAAGCCAGCAGACGTTTCAGGAATGAAAGAAGGAATATCTGAAAGATGGTTAATGAGCTTGTGATGAGCAGTAAGAACAGACACATGATAGAGACCAGTATAGAGGAATAAATTAATTTAAGGTGGACTACCAACCTAAAAATAACTTAGTGAAGGATGAGAATGGTGATCCGTTTGACGATTCTCACAAGTCCAGTAAAACAATGTGGGAATGAAATTAAATGGGACATCAACTGCTAGTCTGTGCTGGTGATTTGAGTCTAGTGGGTGGTAACATAAATACCATGAAGAAAAACACAGAAACTCTAATTGATACTGGTAAAGAGGTTGGCCAAAAGGTAGAAAACTCAATATATGTTGTCTCTTCACAGAATGAAGGGCAAAATCGTAACGTAAAGATAGCTAATAGATAATTTTAAAATTTGGCACAGTTGAAATATTTGGGAAGGACAGTAATAAATCAAAATTTTATTCAGTAGGAAATTTAAAGGAGATTGAATTCAGGTAATGCTTGGTACCATTCAGTTCAGAAACTTTTGTGTTCTCGGCTGCTGTGTGAAAATGTAAAAATTAGAATATACAGAACTATAATTTTGCCTCTTGTTCTGTATGGGTGTGAAACTTATTCTCTGACATTAAGGGAGGAGCATAGACTCAGGGTGTTGTGGAGAATATTTGGACCAAAGAGAGATGAAATGATGAGAGGTTGTAGAAAACTTTTGTAATGAGGAACTTCATAACTTGTACTCTTCTCTAAGTATTATTAGAATGATGAAGTCAAGGAGAATGAGATGGGCAGGGCATGTAGCATGAATGGAGAAGAGTAATACATGTAGGATATTGGTGGGAAAGCCAGAAGGAAAGAGTCCACTAGGAAGACCAAGATATAGGTGGGCAGACAATATTAAAATGGATCTTAAGGGAGATAGGATGGGGTGGTATTGACTGGATTTATCTGGCTCAGGATAGAGACCAGTATAGGATTCTTGTAAGCATTGTAATGAACCTTTGGGCTCTGTAAAATGTTGGGAAATTCTTGAGTAGCCGGATCACTGGTGGCATCTCTAGAAGGGCCCAGCTCCATGGAGATATAAGGTGGTTCAAATATGACTGGGATTGATTTGTGTGTAAACAAGCCGCACTGCGCAGCAGCTTTGCAACCTTGAGAGCGTGAAGTCACAACCTCCACCCTCCCTCCTTTTTGGGTTAGAACCTGTTCAGTCCTATCTGGGAGTTGATTGAGTGATGAGCGAACAGAAGGTACCACAGAGCGTGGAACATCACATTGTGATCAAATTACTCGGAGGAAACGTCCCGTCCGCTGAAATTCACCACAGAGTGTCTCTTGTGGACCCGTGTGTTTGAGTGGTTTAAGTGCTTGAGAGAGGGCAGAGAGCCCATGGAGAATGAACCGCATGATCGTTGGCCGCGAACATCTGTCACCGAGCCAAACATTGATCGTGCAGTTGCCCTGATTTGTGAGAATAGGCACATTACTATCAAGGAACTTGGAGCAATGCTGTCCATCAGTGTTGGTAGTGTAGAAGATATCGTGAAATATCACCTGCAATATCACAAGGTGAATGCACAGTGGGTACCATGCAATTTGATGGACGTGAACAAAATGGTGTGCATGCAAGCTGCCA